AGCAGATGTTACCAACACTGCTCAGTTGTTACTTATTTGAGGTATTCTTGCCAAGTTTGACACAACTGGAAAATGATGGTCTGTGAATAGTCTACATTCGATTTACAAGACAAAATATTTTCAAAACAATTGAAAAAGTTCTAATCTGTTATGATCTGAAATGGAATCTGCTATGATGTGTAAAAAGTAATGGTGGGAAAAATACATGTGGAGCAGAAAATGGCTCAATTGTACAAATTTCCTAAGCTTGCAAAATTATTTTAAAAAAGATGAACTGCCCTTTAATTCCAAATAGCTTTGTAAATTAACTTTTTCTGCAGACCTGATCATTGCTTAATGAATTGTTCTAAAATTACAAACCAATATAGAGTTTATATATGAAATTTATACTGCAGTACAGTCATTTTGGCAACTAATGTTTTCTTGAACGAAGATTATAAATTATGTACTGGCAAAAGTTAAAACAAGAGTCAAGATTTCCATCACAACACAAATTTTGCAATGGGTATATTTTCTGAGCTCGAACTACAGTTCCAGGACCACTTTTCATATTTCCATGCAAGTGGAAAGGAAATTTCATATTTCAAAATCCATTTATTATGCAGTAGAGAAGCTTTCACCTAACCTTCAAGTGTAAATGATTCATCTGAAATGTAATGACATGCTAACAGCCAGATAACAAAAGAAGAATCTATAGAATTTTGTTAGTGTGTTGCAAGTTTTAAATATGATTAAAATCATATGCTAGTAAGTGATAACAGCATTTGGCCATACAATTTGTGTGGAAAGACATTTTGAAAGATGAAATACATAAAATTTCATTACAGACAATGTTAGCAGATAAATATTTGTAATCAGTTTTAATGATAGGGAACACTAAGTTTGAATTCTAGTCAAGCAAAATGTTATAACCCTCTCTCAAAACACAAGATTTATTTTCTCATTAGTAGAGTTGTATTAAAATATTTTTGTCGTAGTTGAAATAATTTAAATACTGTAGTACTTAATTACCATTATTATTGTATTTAAATTTTATCAACTAAAAAGTGTGCAGAAAATTATTTTCTCCCTCATTATATAAGTACCTGCATGATTCTCATGATCTAGAATCTTAGCTCACATAGCTTAACATAAGTATTATATGAACCTTTACAAAAACAGTTGGCTGCTGATTCCTTTTCTGAATGGCACAAATTTGAATTCTGGTTCCACAGGAGAAGCACAGAGGAAGCTGATGGTGGAAAGAACATGCCAGAGGTCAGAGACCTGGAAAGTTAAACAGACAGCTGTCTCTAAAGGACTCCAGGGAAAGAGATTGGCTACAAGGACCATATCTGAGATAGACCAAGAAGACAGAAGAAGCTACCATGAAACCTGAATCTCTTATGGTTAGAATTGGTCAGAGATTTTTTTTAAAGAAATCCCTTTAAAAAAAGCTTAGGAAAGATGAATCAAAGTTAAGTTCTGTCAATTGAACTAATAAAGAAATGTAATACATTATTTTACTTCCAGAGTTGCTAAAAGTAGACACTGAGTATGCATACATTAAACCCACATTAATATCAGTTATCTTTGGGTCATGGGTCATCAATTATTTTGCTTTTATTCTTTAAACATTTTTCCTTTCTGATTTTTCAGCAATGAATATTTATTTCACTTTTATACTTGTCTCACATCTTTTTTCTTGATCTTTCAGCAGTGACTATATTTATTTATTTTAAAATTCATGCTTTTTACAATTTCTACATTTTAAAAACTATTTTCTTATTGATTAATTAACATTTGTGAAATATTGTGGGGGGAAACATTTAGTATTTGTTTTCAAATTACTTATGAAGGAAAAAAAAGTTTGCAATTGAGAAGAGAAGATCACTAGACTAGCTCTCTTATTTTTTTCTGCAAACATTTTCATTCATTTTATATCTTTAAGAAAATAAGACTTTTACATACTAAAGGAATGAGAACTTAGCAACTTAGAAATAAAGTGTTTAGAACATTGAATACTCCCATATTACTAATAACACAGAAAGTACTATTGTTGCTAAAGGAAATACAAGATTGTTTTCTCTTAAAAGTTAAGATATATTTTAAAGATAGTCTAGAGAAGAAGTTTTTTTTTTTGTCATGTCATTAAAAAATATTTCTTGCCAGTGCACCCTATAATTTCAGCCACTTGGAAGGCTGACACCAGAGGATTGCAAGTTCAATCCAAGTTCAAGGTCAGCCTGAGTAACTTAGAGAGGCCCTAAGCAACTTAGTGAGACCCTGTCTCAAAATGAAAAGTAAAAAAGGGTGGAATGGAGCTCAATGATAATCCTGAATTCTATTTCCAGTACTTTCTCTCTCTCTCTCTCTCTCTCTCTCTCACACACACACACACACACACACACACACACACACACTCACAAATTTCTTATGGAATGTAAAATTATGTTTGCATGCATCCATAATAATTGCCTTATATTTTAATTCTAATCTATTTTTATCATTCCTAGTTGTTTAGAGCATTGGTAGTCATGAATTCCCCTTAGATTATTGTTTCATGATGTGCCAAATTCTTTTCTCATGTTACACAATCATATGTATCTAAAAATAATTCTGAGAAGGAAGCAGGTTCTAATGGAAATCAGTCATCTTAAACATCCAGCAGTGGGGCCACCATCACCATGCTGTGCCTCCCAGATGTTGAAACACTATCATTCATTTGTCCTTCTTTATTCTGGGGTGGAGGGTGAAGGGGGGTGGTTGAACTACTCAGGGACACTCGACCACTGAGCCACATCCCCAGCCCTATTTTGTATTTTATTTAGAGACAGGATCTCACTGAGTTGCTTAGTGTTTCGCTGTTGCTGAGGCTGGCTTTGAACTCGCAATTCTCCGCAGTCTCAGCCTGCGGAGCTACTGAGATTACAGGCATTTGCCACCGTGCCCTGCTCATTTGTCCTTATGATGGCTTTCTGTATGTGTGTGTGTGTGTGTGTGTGTGTGTGTGTGTGGTTTTTTCTCCCCATATTTGTAGGAAAACCATATGTTTGCTCTAAGCCCATGTTTGAGTTTGTTTACCCTGTTGACATAGAGAACACTTAGTAATTTGGGATAATATCAATGTTAGAAGATGATACTGGCCAATGTGGGTGTCATTTAAGAACATGGTGTGAGCCTAATAAACTGCATTTATAAAATCACGAGTTATTTCTTCTGAAACTCTTCGTGTCTTCTATTTAGCTTCAATGTGTTCTGAAAGAAATGAAGAAAATTTAGAGACAGACAATATAATAAGATTATGCCTTGCTGAACATAAACAAGCAGAGAAAATAATCATTATTCATTTAGTATTTGTTTACAAATTTGTAATAAAAGGGTGATATTTACCATTTCTAAAGTCTCCAAAAGATATGGGGATTGAAAGATTTTATTTATCCTTCCACAATAGTTTTTCATGAGAAGGCAGCACAGAATCACCAGTGTTTACTTTTTGCCTACATGCCACTCAAGTTTTCTTGGAATTAAGTCTGCTCTGATCACCAGTTGGTAACTCAAAAAAAAAGTGGGCTTTGAACTATTGAGTTCAAGTGCAGAGTTTGTTCATCTATGAAAAAAAGAAGAAACAACACCAAGTCAAAACTTATTTTTATCACTTGTCTGGCAAACAATCACATACCCTCCATAGGAAGCAGCTTGTTTTACCTATAATGTACTTGCTTTAATATACTTTGTAAAAATACAATGTGTGCATTGAAAATAGTTCGACATTGTCTTGTTTTCGTACCTTTTAAACAGTGGCTCACCTTTTTCAAAAATATCATTTCTTCATCCCATTTTATTTCATTATTCTACAAATTACGTATTTCCTTTCTGCTATAAGGTATGACACAATAAAATAACATATTTTCATAGAAAGAAGTCTTTCCTTAGGATGAAAATTACATGCCAAATTCAATTTGCTTATTAAACATTTCACTGTGCATCGTAAAATACCTAAAGACATTTAGCTTATCCAACCACTTTCTTTTAAGGGCATCTTTTGGAATACAGAGTTAAAACAGTCATTTACATAGTAAAAAGAACATTGTGTAGTTTTAGCTTCTAATTTGAAATTATCACTCTCAAACAAATTGTAAGTGAAATTGCTGGAGTAGGAGCAACCTCCTAAGCAGCACTAAAGACAAGACTGTAGAAGAAGGGACTGGGGAGGAGAGGATAGCAGGCCCCAACACAGGGACCCTTTAGTAAGGTTGGTGGAGTCAGGGTGACAGAGGGGTGCAAAGGAGACCATCTGACTTTCTTTCTGGTTGCTGATACTTTTTTTTTGGCAAAGTCAAGTTTTTATCAAAACCAGAATTGGAATAGGCTTTCCCTTGCATTCACTTACATCCAGTTACTAAACTCTGGAGGCTCTGTATTGCAAATTTCTCCTGAACACACTGAATAAATATATAAATAAATTCGTAGATGGAGGAATGAATAAATGAATGAAGGAGGAACCATAGTGAAAAATTCTTTGGCTTCTTATTTCCCTGGGGACAGTGAAATGTGCATTCTGATTTCTGGGAGATCTGTCTAATCACAGCAGTGTGTGACATCAGGATGAAGCTCTAAGAAAAGGAAAGCTAGAGGAAAATCTGATTTGAATCAGACTTAGTGTTGAGGGATTTATTTTAAAGAGCAGGAAGGTATCCAGGGAAATTAAAACAAAAACACTAAAACTCACACACTATTTCTCAAACAAGTCTCATGTTTGGCACACAAAACATCATGTCTTGGTGGTGACATGATTTCATTTTAAGTGCTACTCAATGATGGACTGTGCTTCCACATATACTTCATAACCTACCATGATAATCTTGCTGCCTGTATGTGGTCCATAGGGGATGAAGCGGCAGGAGGGTAGAGAAAGAAAAAGCAGGAAACACAAGGCAAAATCCAACCAAAATCACCTAAGTACAGTCACTCTTCCCTTTCCCAGTATCTTAGGCAGTTTAACATCATGTCTTTTTTATTATTGCATTAATAATTTGTTAAGCTACTATGTTGATATAGAAAAGTTATGTTGATATAGAAAAGTCTTTTTCTCTCCTTCCGTTTTTTGACCCACAACTATTGTATGGACCATTGGATCACAGCAAAACTGCAAAGTGGCTGGTGGTAGATACACATGATGAACTGAACTGGATTGTAGGAAACAATTGGATTCTATAATTCATTGTAAATTGGTAGGTATTAAAGGTTTCTTAGAACTCAACTTTGCTTCCATCAGATGAGTGAATTGAATTCAGATTCATGGATTTACTCTTATGCTATTCATTCATTTTTCAAAGATCTGGCTGGATCAGGCTTACTTGAGAGGAAATGCAGGATATACTAGTTAAGTATTTAATTTGAGAGGCCTTAATTCTGTTGCTTATTACAAGCCTTTAACTTGAGGGAGGGACCTTTTTTTGTTTTAATTAATTTTGAGGCACAATGTTACAAAATTATTATGGTAATTTTATTTTATTTTATCATTTTCTGTTTTTATTCAATAAGTTCATATTTTATAATCCTGACGAATTATAGTTAAACTTTCTTTTAACCATTCCTATCTCAACTATTTTTAATTCAATTTCTTCTTTTTTATCTCTGTAATAGAGAACAATTATTTGTGTTAATTTTGTCTATTCACTTGATTCATTCATTAAGATAATTTTTTAAATGGAGCTGAACTGAAGATATGCTTAGTGTCATTCGATAGTTTTCTTTGCTTTTGGGGCTATCAGCTTGTTTTTTCTAGAATGGACTAGAATAAAAATATTCTGCATGTTTTTGTTTCCTCTCTAACATTCCTCGCATTTTTAAAAACCATTTCCGAGAAATGCACAGTTAGCAGAATTATTTAAGAGGCTCTTTGGGTATCTAGTGCTGAAAGCAATGTCAAAATGCTACCTTTGTGTTTTTAAAGCTCTTGAAATACCTTCCACTCAGCTAAAAATTAGAAAAAAATAGAGAATCTTTTTTGAAAGCTTCATAATACTTTCCTATGAGTTTAAACTATGAGTTTAAAACTATGAGTTTTACTTTCCTATGAGTTTAAAACTACTTTCCAATGAGTTAAAATTCAAAAGGTTTTGATACCGCAGGTATGTGCATTATTAAATGTGTGGGTGCTTGTCAAATTTAAGCCTTTTTAAATTTTTTTTTTCTTTTTAATCTTTCTCGTTTTAACTAAGTGTTCGGTGTCTAGGCAAGGTCTAAATCTCTTTCATATTTTTATCGGATAGAAATGAGAAAAAGAAACAGATTCCATATGAAGCACATTTTTGGAAGACAAATAAGCAGAGACAATTTCTTTGAATTCTATTTCATAAAGATAATATCCCTAAGACAAATAAAGGGTTTTTGTTTTAGGAAAAAGGGGGATACACCTGGATGACAGGCATGACAATGTTCTTTCTGGTTTATTTCATATGCTGCCCTTGACTACAATAATGCTGACCTTGATTTTGGGTTTCTCATCTTGTTTTTCTCTTCCTGGCATGGCTTTAGATTTTAAAATAAAAATAAAAATAAATGAAAGCAGAGAATGATTTTTTTTTTTACTAGCAAGCATCTTACAAGAATTAACTGTAGTCTCATAAAGTTTTATCTTTTTTGATTTGTTGTAAATTGGGGTATAATAAAAACATGCGGTAGAGCTTAATATCACATCCCATAATCTAAATACGATACTTTTCTATGTACCGTCATGAATCAAACGTAAAAAAATTTAAAGTTCAGTACACTACTGCCTGCGTCTGCCAGGATTCCCCTTACAAGTTTTGCAGAGGGACAGAGACTGCACGCAGGAAACTTGGCATAACTTCTAATGTTACTAAATTAGATAATGTGTGCAGACTGTTGAATTTTTTCAGAAAATACCATTTCAACAAATACCAGATTTGAAAATAATCTCACTGAAATCCGAAATACAATATTCCATATCAGATAAAAGATTGCATATGAAGTTTTGATCTTAAAAAATCTGCAATGTTTTATCTTCAAATGCATTTTGAAAGCCAAGACTTAAACATATTTTGGTTACATAAGTTTTGGAAAATATTATAGTAAGTTTTAACTTTTTCAAGTAAACTTGTGCACTGCAAACACTGACTGACCCCACATCAACAATATGTTTATTTCCTTAAAATACACTATGTTTTTAAATAAGAAAACATAATTTCTTAAAGATATTCCTCACAGTATCTCCTCATATAATCATGCTAGAAAGGTAATTATTAATTATTAGAAATCTTTTACCATGCCATGTTAATTTTTGGTAATTTTCTGAAAGGTTTGGAAAGTCTACAAAAGTTTGTGCTAGTAGACTAATTTTAAGATTTAAAAAACATTGCTTATATACTAATTCGAAGTTGAATAATCTATAATTTTTTAAGTCCTTTGAAACTTAAAATTTACTGATTAAAAACAATATGCCACTTGAGTCCATTTCTTCTGAATCACTAATTCAGGGGCAGAAAATGCTATTTAAATGCCAATGTAGTTAGTCTTCTGCACTGTAACTCTCATTTTCATGATACAATCTCATGTTTTGTAGATTCCCATTCTTACAAAATGTAAAATTGTGGTTATTAATCACAATCTGAGAGCTCGTGATGTGCAAAGTTTTGTTCAATTTACCCTTATAACACCTCATGGATTTCCAAATAGCAGAGACTGATCCAGTGTTTGTCAAAATGAATTCATTTAAGGTAAGTAAACTTTCTTCACTCCTTATCATCTCATGCTGTAATTTCAACTCTGTTTTCTTTGGTGTGTCTACACTAACCATTCCTTGATGATTTTTGTATGACTTAACTGGTGCAAGATAGTACTATGAAGGCTATTTGTCTCTGAGCCTGAAATGACACTTTTTAAATTTTTTTATTGGTTCTTTTTAGGTATATATTATAGGAGAGTGTATTTTAATATATCAGACATACATGGAGTATTACTTATTCTAATTAGGATTCCATTCTGAGATTGTTCATGATGTGGAGTTTCACTGATGGTGTATTCATGTACAAGCAAAGGAAAGTTACATTCAATTATTTCACCAACATTGGTGTGTCATCTGTAAAATGGGAAGAACTAGGCTTACCCTTAGAAATGTTGGGAAGATAAAATAAGATGTTATGTGTACAGCTTCCAGGGTAATACCAGACACACAAATGGTAGCTATTAAAATTTGAACCTGAAAGAGTATTGTGTTACAAAATAAGATATTTCTTTTTAGGTCACATTCTTAGCTTCGGAATGACTCACTCTGCCAAAAGAGGCTTAAAGTGCCCCTTTCTCTTTAGTGATATGTGAAAAAGGCTGATCCTCTCCAGAAAAATTCATCTGTCAGCAGAAGACAGCTGAGTGCTCCACTGTTACACAGAGCAACTCCATGCTACTCCCCGTGTCCGTGAGCTTTGTCAGGGTTTGCATTTCTGATGAACATGCTAGAAGCAAGCAGCATCCCTTAAAATTCAGTCAATAAAGGCCTTAGAAATCCCTTTGATAAACAACACATAAAACCCAAACATAAAAACAGAATACTAAAAATGAAAGGATACAAATCAATAAAAATTA